TAATTAAAACTGATTTATCTATTCTCAACACGTTTTTGATTCTCCGGACACGAGACAACTATTTCCCGGGAATTCTTGAAAAAATATCCAATTTGGTGTGTTTAAGATCTCGTCGTCATAATTTCATTTGCTGAATGTTTAATGTCTTCTCCAGCTTTCTGTATTATGTAGATATTTCAATAAAGTCGGAAAAAAGAAGATAATTATGAATTCACATTGATCATTAATTAACTTTGATAATTACTTTTTATAATTAAAACTGATTTATCTATTCTCAACACGTTTTTGATTCTCGGGACACGAGACAACTATTTCCCGGGAATTCTTGAAAAATTATCCAATTTGGTGTGTTTAAGATCTCGTCGTCATGATTTCATTTGCTGAATGTTTAATATCTTCTTCAGATTTCTGGATTATGTAGATGTTTCAATAAAGTCGCATCTCGCAACACTTGAGAAAGTAATATTATAGATATTTTTAGTACAATTTTCAATTTTGAAATTTCTCGATTCTTGAACGATAATTCCCGGTTCAGCAACCCCAATCTTTACTAGTTTTACTGTTGACACGTTTTCGATTCCCGGGACACAAGACAACTATTTAAGGCATTCCCGGGAATTCTTGAAAATTTATCCAATTTGGTGTGTTTAAGATCTCGTCGTCATGATTTCATTTGCTGAATGTTTAATATCTTCTCCAGCTTTCTGTATTATGTAGATATTTCAATAAAGTCGCATCTCGCAATTCCCGGGAATTCCCGGTTCAGCAACCCCAATCTTTACTAATGTTACTGTTGACACGTTTTTGATTCCCGGGACACGAGACAACTATTCCATGCATTCCCGGGAATTCTTGAAAATTTATCCAATTTGGTGTGTTTAAGATCTCGTCGTCATGATTTCATTTGCTGAATGTTTAATATCTTCTCCAGCTTTCTGTATTATGTAGATATTTCAATAAAGTCGCATAAATTCCCGGTTCAGTAACCCCAATCTTTACTAATGCTACTGTTGACACGTTTTTGATTCCCGGGACACGAGACAACTATTCAAGGCATTCCCGGGAATTCTTGAAAAATTATCCAATTTAGTGTGTTTAAGATCTTGTCATCATGATTTCATTTGCTGAATGTTTAATATCTTCTCCAGCTTTCTGTATTATGTAGATATTTCAATAAAATCGCATCTCGCAATTCCCGGGAATTCCCGGTTCAGTAACCTCAATCTTTACTAATGTTACTGTTATTTGTTTTTGTCTGCAGGTTTGGTTCAAGAATCGTAGGGCCAAGTGGAGGAAGCGCGAGAGGAACGCGATGAACGCTATGAACGCGGCTGCCGACTTCAAGACAGGCTTCGGGACGCAGTTCAACGGGTTGATGCCCACCTTCGGAGATACGGATTCACTGTACTCCTCTTACTCGTACAACAATTGGGCGACGAAGGTGCCCAGCCCTTTGAGCACGAAGCCCTTTTGGCCGGTAGTACCGACCAACCATCATCAATCGCCGGTGAATTGCTTCAACGCTGCCACCTCCGTGGCTACAATGTCCGGAGCTGCTGGATCCATGCTTCCTGGTGGAATGGGCAGCGGTCTGACGACGACGCAAGCCGCCGTCGCAGCCCAACCATGCCCATACACGACACCCGCCAACCCTTACACCATGTACCACCATCGCACCTCCGCCGAACCATGCACGGCGATGACCTCCAGCATCGCCTCTCTGAGGCTCAAGGCCAAGCAACACACCGGCTTCGTAGGGTACTCATCGGCCGTAAGCCCTGTACGTTCCGGATCCGCCGGCCTCAGTGCTTGTCAATACGCAGGAAGCACCATCGGCGTCGGCGAAAGACCCGGCTGAGAACACGAGCAGCCCTGCAGCGGGCACCAGTGCAAAACCGAAGACCAAGACGATTAGAACAATCCCTAAAACAACAACAACAACCATAAAAAACCAAACTCAAACAACACTTGATTCCTGTTCAATCAAGACCCAAAACAACAACCAAAAACGATTAAGACGTAACATAAATATCTAATATTAAATAAATTTCGAGAGCAATATATTTAAAATTAACGAAAAGAAGAAGCGAAAAAAGAAAATTGAAGTAAAGTGAAGCTTAGTGTGTGCTCCTCCCTTAATTTAAAACCACTACAAAAAAAAATAAATAAACATAGTTACCATAATTACCAAAATACAATTGTTTGTGTCTTAATTTTTAGTTGCGCAATAAATGAGATTTACGAGATTCATGAGATCCCCAGTACAAAGAGAGCGAACGAAGTGCAATGTATTATAACTATTATTATTAATTATTAATCACGTTTACTTACTAAAACAAGAAACAATTTTTAATTATTACTATTATTACAAAAACTAGAATTAATATCAAGATCAGGGCAAAAACAAAAAATAACACGACCCAAACCGCGTAAACCTATTTATACAATATGATTTAGCCCGATTTTTATGTAAATTTAAATTATATTTTATTATCGCTGTAATAATATGAACTATATTTGTAATTTATAAGGATATTTTAGAATTATGTATAATATATATAGAGAGATTACCTGTAAGTCGTCATTTAAGCCAAAAAATTATATATATATTAATTTTAAGATGAAAAAAATAGCGTTTCAATTTGTATAGTCATTGAAAGTAAAGAAAAAGAAGAAAAACAAATTATGAAAAAAAAATTCGTATATATATAAATATATATATTGTGTATAACATGTATATTTAAACTTATTGAAGGAGATGGAGATGAATAAACATTGTTTGAAGAGATCACGTCGTGGATTGATCATCATACTCTGTTGCATATCGTTCTGTGAATTGTTTTGTTTTTTTTTTTGTAATTGATTAACTTTCAGTCACCTCTAGTCACGAGATACCCTGCGAGATGCCGAAGAGGAGAGTACCGAAATGGATTATATAAACGATGGAGAATTATTATGTGGATTACTTATTATGAATAAATAAAATAAATGAGATGAGTGAAATGAATACACACACACGAAAAAAAAAACATATATAAATATAAAAATAAATGAATCAATTTAGCAAAAACAAATTGTTTAATGTAAACCATAATTTAATTAAATCCCAATTTTTATGCAAATTATTTATTTATTTGTTATTATGATTAACAAATTGTTAATTATTCCTGTTCAATCAAGACCCAAAACAACAACCAAAAACGATTAAGACGTAACATAAATATTTAATATTGATGAATCAATTTAGCAAAAAAAAAACACTATTTGTTTAATTTAAACCATAATTTAATTAAATCCCAATTTTTATGCAAATTATTTATTTATTTGTTATTATAATTAACAAATTGTTAATTATTCCTGTTTAATCAAGACCCAAAACAACAACAAAAAACGATTAAGACGTAACATAAATATTTAATATTGATGAATCAATTTAGCAAAAAAAAAAACAACAACAACTTTGTTAGACGTTAACATAAATATTTAATATTGATGAATCAATTTAGCAAAAAAAAAAACACTATTTGTTTAATTTAAACCATAATTTAATTAAATCCCAATATTTATGCAAATTATTAATTTATTTGTTACTATGATTAACAAATTGTTAATTAATTTAAATATTAAATTTATTTAATATTAAAAATAGATACATTAATTATAATTACAAAATATTGTTTTAAGTTGAATGTATTGATGATTGAATGAGGTAAGTATAATTATAACTATTTTCTTTGTAATTCTCAAAACGCTTCGAAATAACGCTTATTAATTGCTAATTTTACACCTATATAGAACTAAACCCTATAGTTATCTCACTGTAAATATGGGTTCATTTTACGCCGATTCGATTTGCGACGGCTTCTGTAGGAACGGAACCCCGGCGTAAACCGAAGTTTAGCTGTATTTGTAATAGAATATTTGAAGTTACTCAAAATTAGTTTTAATATAGAAGTTCTTCAATACCAGTTGCTATAGTAAAGCAATAAGTAAAGTTAGGTTAGGTTAGGTTTGTTCAGGATAGGTTAGTTGAGGCTGTGATGGATTATGTAAGATTCGGTTGTTGTCGCAATCGAAAAGTTAAGAATTTCCAAACTAGTTAAGTCATACTATATTTTTTTTTTCAGAAAAAGTTTCAAGACTAAATTCTGTAGAACGAGAAAATATCTTTATTTTTTTTTAAAGCTGATGTATTAAGTTAACATCTCGATATCTTTTGAAATATTACAAGTTAAAAATTGAGAATGCCTTGGCCTGCTTTTGTTTTAATTAACTTTATTTAATTGTATTGTTTCGCTGCGGGATGCGTGAGGGGTGGTGTGTCCGGAGGTAGGCTTAACTGTGCTTTTATTGCTGATCGACGAAAGGCGAAGGGGGAGAAAAAGAGATTGCCCTTTTCCTTCTGCTATCAATATACATACATAACGATTGTAATGCAAATCGACCACATGCAGTTAGTTTTGTGCCGTCGCCTCATCAGATTATGTGTGTATATGTAGGGGTAGAGGGTGTCGGCGGGAAAAGGGGGAGGTTTTCGCGCCTCATCAATCACCAACCACCACGGCAATTAATTCATACGACCCGGCTGCCACCCTCCTCATCCTCTTTCTCTCTCACTTCTACCATCCCCGCTTGATGTCATCCCTCTTGCACCCATCCGCAAATGCCTGTGTATATGTATATTTACGAAGACGATCATCCTTTTATATGCGATTACACGTTTGAGGGGTTCTAGCCGAGGTCGAACAAAAACGCACATGTTAACATTTTAATTCATCTCATTAGGACCACTAACTTAGTTTTAATCTAAATTGCCTAATAAAACTAGATTGATCGCATCCCCTCAATAATCTCATCAATTCGAATAAAATCTACATCAATTAGTTACATTTCCAACGCACAGTAACGAGCAAAATGAATTGTAAGAAAAATGACTCGCTTAACAAGTGACGTTTCGCATAACGAGTGACGATGAGAAGAGAAGTCTTCATCATTTTTAAAACTTGTGTACACATATTATGTGTATGTTTGAATATGTTTCACTATAGGAGTAAAAATCTAGAAATTTTGGAACGAATTAAAAAAAAATGATACAATTGTTGAAAAAATATCGATGACATGTAATTTCATGTAACTAACCTAACCTATTATTAGGTTAATTGCTACAATTAAGTTTACTACTCGGAATTTCGTGTTATCATCATTGATAAGATGTATTTCGAGACGTTCAGGATTACTGAGAAAGATCTCAATCGAAACACAATTCAAATAAAACATCTTTATTTATATAATTTTTTTTTCTATTTCATCTCCATTTATTTACAATTATGTCGCTAAGTAAAATATTTATCAAATTAGAAACATTTATATAAATATTATATTTTTTTAGTAAAATTCAATATTTGAATTAAAACTTTCAAAAAAAAAATGGAAAATATCACATAAATACTCTAATGTGTATATTTCCTACAATAATGTCATATTAATATTGGATGACATTTGATGACATTTATAATATTGAAAATTTTCTATTTTTTTTCAAAAAAATTTAACAACTAAAAAAAAATCTATTTACAGGTCGTTATATAACTTTAAACAACATTATTAAGTAACATAAATTGTAATATTTCATAATTGAAGTTTTACAAAGTTACATTCTTAGTCTACATTTATGCTTTGTTATATAAAGTCCATGTTATGATTATGTCAGTAAATAAAAAAATATACAATTTCTTGAAGCATTTCAAATATATTTCTTATGTAATTCGCTCTTATAAATGTGAAAATGATAATTATAGAAGTTTTATAATGTGTTTAAAAAAAAACTTTTAAATTTTGAATCGATTGTGATATTAAGTGTAAAAGGAAAGCAACTTCACCGAAAGGAGAGAGAAAATAAAAAACAATTTCAATTTTGATGGAGGGAAAAGAAGGGAAAAGGTAAGGAGGAAAAATACAGGCGCAAAATAAACAAATTGTTTGAGTCTTCTTCAAAAGAAATATTGCCGAGGCTAAATGCAAAAAAACGAGAAAGAGAGAAAAATAAGGGAATCCTTCTCTCCTCGTGTATGTATATATATATATATATAATTTTTTTCATTCCTCCCATGTTTTGTTTTCGTTTTCGGGAGGGGTGGTTGTTCGTTGGCTCCGGGTGGGTTTGCGTTAGTTTATTTTATATTCTGATCCGAATGTTTCTGCTCCGTCTTCCCTGTTTGTGTGTGCCGTCGAGGGGTGGAAAAGGGCGGCTGTATGTGTGTACGCGAGCGAGGGGTGGCAGCGGGGGCGGTTTGGTTTTTCCGAAGAGGGGTAGGCGGGCGGTTGGCGGCGAGAAGGTTGGCTGGAAAAGGGCCTTCGCCGCGCGCCTCCTCCTCCTCCACCACCCCTCGGAATCCAATCGGCCAGCTGAGCCGCCCTCGCGCCGCCTTTGGGCCTCCGGCGAAGACCCCTTTGGTCGGGCGGAAGACACGCCGAGAGAAATAACGTGGGATTACCTACAGTGCGTTCCCCATGATTAGATTGTAAAATACTGGAAGTGACGTGTGCAAGGGGTGGATAAATAAGACACATAAAACGGAAATGAAACGGAGGTTATAAAAATGACGCGAGAGTGAGAGCGAGGGAGAAGGAATAGCAACGAATCCAAAAAGAAGATGAGGAGGAGTAGAAAGAATAAGAAAAAGAGACGAGAGCAAGACGGAAGGAAAATAAAGAACATTTCCTCCCCTATTTCCAAACTCGCACACAAACACATTTCCTCACCGAAAACCCCATTAGAATCTTATTAACTTAACGTTTAATACTAATTGCATCCGCTTTTCAACAATTCTCTTTACCGCAACTGAACTTAATTATACCACCACAACTTGATTACATTACTACAACTATATTGTATTATTTTATCTTAGTTCCTGCTGAGTTTCTTCCAATTCACCAATTTCTGAGATGAAAACATTTGATTCTTTCCAATTCACCAATTTTTGAGACGAATACTTTTCATTAATTCCAATTCGCTACTTTTTCAATTACATGACGATTACAAAGAATTCCATCATTTGCAAATACAAAACAAAAGATGTAATAAATAATAATAATAATCAAGTTTATTGACCAAAAGAACAGATACAAAGAAAATAAAATAAAACAAATTTACAATGAGTACATTTGGTCAAAGGGAACCGAATCAGTTTTTCCAAGTAAAAAACAAAAGATCAACTGTTCTTCCTTCAGTCCCGAAAAAAATAAAATAAATATAAAGTACACAATTCCCCCGGGCATGCACAATTAGCCCATAAATAAAAATCATGTGAAATAATAGTAAATAAACAAGGTAAAAATCATATAAATATATAGAAAAGTACATAAAGACAAAAATATAAAATATATAAAAGAATAGCAGGTGCATAAAATTATCGACAATTGAGTATATAAATCAACAAATAGACAAGCAAACAAACCAACAAAAGGCACGCACCAAATACAAAAATACAAAAATTAAAAAGAAAAACAAAAAT